ATGCCTCCACCTGGACAGAGGCCCTAACATTTCGTTTAACGGATCCAGCATGGAGATAATTGACATGTTCGTATAGTTAGGCAGTACACCGTCTAGGGATGACTCATTGGACGCAAAAGTGAATTACTGCATTAAACGAGCAAGTCAGGTATTCTCTCTTGTGGAACTCTCTTCCGGCTTCCTTCTTCCCAGTCAACCTTGATCTTCAATAATTTAAATGCAATGTCAATCGTTATCCTCTGTCTTCTTAATTCCGTTTCTTTTATTGTTCTTTTTAATTTATAGTGTTTTTTTTTCTCATACTCTTTAACAATCAGTAACCTCTGCCATCCTAGAACCGTTATTGCGTTGCTTAGTGGTAAAATAACTGAATAAAAAATTCTTAGAACCATACGAGACGTAAAATCAACGTCAGGAGTAGACCACTAGCCTGGGCGTCGACTGGTCGACGGTAATTGTCAAAATCTTGATTTTAATAACATTAAATTTTATATATGAGATTTACTGTTTAAATTGCGAGATACGTGAGGTGAGATTGATTTATTTGGCGACATATTAGGATAATACAGTATCTATACTGGAATCAGTTCGCTTGCATACAAATAGAAAAAAATCGGGCCTAACATTTCGGTTAACGGATCCAGGCTGGAGATAGTAGGCACTTCTGTATACTTAATCAGGGTAATCTATAGGGATGTCACACTGGTTGCAGAAAAGAAATACTGCGAAAGTCAGGAATTGAGAAAACTTGACAAGAGAGTATGGTCTGAGCTTAACATCTCCTTAAGCACAGAGATCGGCATCTACAAAATAGTTGCCCTAACCACGCTTGTATGTTCCTCTGAAGCGTGGGCCACCTACCAAAGGAACATTAAGGTCTTAGTTTTCATAAGCAGTGCCTGAGACAAATCTTGCATATCAATTGGTAGTCTTATACACCAATAACAAAAGTCGTTCAGCGCGCAAACATTGCCACCATAGAGAAACTGCTTCTTCGTCATCAAATACGCTGGGCAGGTGATCTGATACGGATGGAGGATGGCAGATTGCCAGAAATATGTTATTATGTTGAGTTGATACAAGGTAATCGACCTGCTCATAATCCCCAAAAAATGTTTCAAGGATTGAGTTAAATGTAACCTAAAGACCCTTGAGGTTAATATTGAAGATTGGGAAACTGTTGCTGGAGACAAATCTAGCTGGTGAGGACTGACCACACCTATTTTACATAGATAAAGCCCTTCGTAAGGTGTGTCTGTACGCGTAAAAAATTTTTCGTATTTCTTTATGGCACAGGCTTCCAGGAATCACTTCAATGAGTCTACTGGAATCTTGGGATTGTTGATGTTCCCATATTATTATTATTATTAATAATAATATTAATAATAATAATAATAATATCATTATTTTTCTTAATATTATTATTATTTATATCACTATTAATATCATTATTATTATCATTATTATTATTAATATCATTATTATTATTATTATTATTATCATTATTAATATTATTACTATTATCTCCTTTGATTTCTGCTGTTTACACATTTCCTTCTGTGCCCCAACAAGTAACATAAGGTCATAAATGGCATCATGACATTTTCACTGAGTATTTTTGCGTAATGTATATATATATATATATATATATATATATTGACGCGTTCTTTTCCAGTGCAACCGTTTTTTTTTTTTCATTACAAGACAAACAACGTTTGTACAATGACTTATAATTTTTTATAGATTTACATATTTTTATATTTTAACAAAAAATTGTTTCAACATGATTTGAAGAAGACAGACATTCTGCCGAAATATTGTTTAATATTGTCAAACACTATGTTTTTTTCTTTTCTTTATCTTTTCTTAAATCGCTCTCTTCTCATAACTGTTGATAATAATAATAATAATAATAATAGTAATAACACAAAACTTAGAGAAGATTTAAAAAAGAAAAGAAAAGATATAATATTCAATAATGTTCAATAATATTTTGACATTGTATCTGTCTTCTTCAAGTTCTGTTTAAATATTGTATACACGTAGAAAAATGTAAAAAAGTTCCACGTCTTTAATTTATTTCAGTCAGTTTAGAACCACACGTGATACACGCTTGGGCGATCATGTATCACTCGATATATGATCTTCTGCAGTAGGTTACCATTTCTTTCTGAGTTAGACTGGTTGCCAACCAAGACTAAAGAAGCGAGACTCTCCTACTATTCAACCCATAGCTTGGGGGAGAAGAGATGGATTTTTACCTTTCCCAAGAGTATTTGTGCGTAAGTGAATATAGCAAACTCGACTGAGAATCGAACTCGGCCCTCCGATTTCTCATTACGAGACGGTATCCATTATACCACATCCATAATTTTGTTGTTGTTATTATTATCATTATTATTATCATTATTATTATTATTAAACAACGTTTCTCTAACATAGAATTTTTTGTAGATTTATATATTTTTATACTTGAAAAAAATTGTTTAAACATAACTTGAAGAAGACAGATATTCTGTTGAAATATTGTTTAAGGTTGTCAACCATAGAGTTTTTTTCTTTTCCTTATCTTTTTTTTAAATGGGGCTCTTCTCTTAACTGTTAAAAATATTGGAAGAATTACGTCAATCATTTTGTTTAATAATAATAATAATAATAATAATAATTTCTTTGATTTCTGGCGTTTACACATTTCTTTCCGGGTCCCGCCCAGGGACCTAAGGTTAGAAATGGCATCATGACACTTACCACTGACAAAAAAAATTACATAGATAAAGCCATTCGTAAAGTGTGGGCTGTACTTGTCAGAACAATTTTTTGTATCTCCTTGAGGCATGGACTTCCAGGGATCCCTTCAATTAGTATACTGCAAACTTTTCCAATCAGTCCTAGGGCTCCAACTATAACAGGGATTGTTGATGTTCCCATATGCCACATTTTCGAGATTTCGATTTCAAGGTCCTTGTATTTTGACAACTTTTTGAATATCTTCAAAGATACATTGCAGTCTGCAGGGACTGCCATATCAACAAGGAGGCACTTTTTTGTTTGTGGTCTTTAATAACAATATATTATTATTATTATTATTATTATTATTATTATTCTGCTTGTTCCGTAGTTCGTTGGTTACCGCGTAAGTTACCTCTTGCTATTACCGCAGATAAATAATAGGCTATTCCGTTTTGATGAAAATCGATGAAAAAGTTATGTCAGCGACATTCTTTGGTTTCAGCAAGAAAAAGAAAGAAAGAAAATATAGAGGGTAAGGGCGATAACATTCTCGTTATTTATTATGTATAAAAATACACAATTATGGCACGAGGCCGAAAAGTGGGAGGGGGTTGATGATGGTCGAAACTTAACTATCTTATACCGAGCTAATCCGATTCACGACCCATTCACTCATTACAATTTGCCCATTCACCATAAAAACTCGTTCGTCACCAATCAATCCTGCATACAGCATAATACCGCATCCTCTCAAGGGGGACCAACAAAACGCGCCCCATGCCATAAAAATTTAATGATAATAAATTATTATATATAAAATTCTATGATGAAAAATGAGAGGGGAGGGAATGAACCCCAAAACAAACTAAACATGAACACAAAGTAAACTAAACATAACTGATGTTAGTAGGGCCCGTCCAACCCTCAAAACAAAGAAGCCGCTGTAGGGGCGATAACATTCTCATGCGCTTAACGTCTGCTTCAGTGAAATGGAAAAGAGCTTAAATTTTGATTTTTTTTTCATTTGTACCCTCTTACTTCTTTGAATAATGAACTTCATTCATACTTATGATTGTTATTGCGATATTCACGAACACTACTAGTCATTATTATTATTATTATTATTATTATTATTATTATTATTATTATTATGCTTGTTCCGTAGTTCGTTGCTTACCGCGTAAGTTACCTCTTGCTATTACCTCAGATAAATAATAGACTATTCCGTTTTGATTGAGAGGAAAAACGGATGAAAAAGTTATATCAGCGAAATTCTTTGGTTTCAGCGAGAAAAAGAAAGAAAAAAAAATAGAGAGGGGGGCGATAACATTCTCATGCTTCAGTGAAATGGAAAAGCGCTTAAATTTTGAATTTTTTTCATTTGTACCTTCTTACTTCTTTGAATAATGAACTTCATTCATACTTATGACTGCTATTGCGATATTCACGGACACTAATAATTATTATTATTATTATTATTATTATTACGTGGGTAAATCAGAAAATAAAGACAATTTTTAACTTATGCAATAAAAAAAAACAGGGAGCCACTGATGGGTGACATTACGCGTGCGCATTGGATGAGGTTACGCAGCCGCACGGCAGTATTCCCTCGTTTAGTTGAGTGGCAGGGTGCAAATAAGTCAGATGTATGGACGTTTCACTTAGCGATTGCATAATCAAAGAACAACATACCGTAGGAAGTGGGAAGACACAATCTGCAGGAATCCATCGCACAGTATGTAACCCCCACCATGACTCAACGAAAGGTGTATGCACGGGTAGAACGCCTTAAAGCAGAAAAAATATGTGTAACGCACGAAAACTGCTGGTTGCCCATCAACATAGCGGACGGAGGAACACATCCAGAGGTGTGGGATGCTTTTTATCAGGGAAGACCGACGAATCCTGTCAGCACGTCAGGTGGTGACAATCGTGAGTCTCAGCTATCGATGTACACAAGACTTATGTTATTGCATCATGACTTGGGATGCCGTGAAATTTGTGTACTGTGAAAGGAGCCCAAACAAGCAAGCAAGTGCAGACGTGGCTTTGTGAGCAACTGAAATGATTCTTTTCGGAAGGGATGAAGAAGCGCATTGAACGATACCAGAGGGACATCGCTGTGCAAGGAGTCAATAACGAAAAGTGGCATAGGCATTTTTTCCTCATCATTCGAAATAAAGAGGTTCTATGAAAATTGCATTTACTTTTTTTATTTACGCTCATAGATAAATAGATAGAGAGATAGACAGACAGACAGACAATGATTATACTGAAATAGATAGATACATAGATAGATAGAGAGAGAGAGAGAGAGAGAGAGAGACAATGAAACGGATGCGATACATAGATAGATAGACAAAGTCCGACAATTTATTTATTAAAGACATTTTTATGCTTAACGTTCTTTTTTTTTATAGATACAAGTATTTAAGTAAATGCTCTGTTTATAATAAACAGTATTAAATAACATTTACCGGCCTGAATGTCCGAGAAATTTTCATAGAAAATATTCGTTCTTTGATAGGATTCGAACCTGCATCCTATACGGAACCGTCATTTACGCTGACGTGCCTTACCGATCGGCCACAAAGAAAGACATTTAGGCCGGTAAATGTTATTTAATACTGTTTATTATAAACAGAGCATTTACTTAAATACTTGTATCTATAAAAAAAGAACGTTAAACATAAAAATGTCTTTAATAAATAAATTGTCGGACTTTGTCCATTTCTTAATATATGACGTCATTTGTTTACATTTGATACGCCAGACCAGTTATGAATGTACGAGATTCATGGAAGATTGAAGTTTATAAGCAGTAAATTCGACCTTGCCTACCGAACGCTTCTTTGTGGCCGATCGTTAAGGCACGTCAGCGTAAATGACGGTTCCGTATAGGTTCCTGTCAAAGAACGAATATTTTCTATGAAAATTTCTCGGACATTCAGGCCGGTAAATGTTATTTAATACTGTTTATTATAAACAGAGCATTTACTTAAATACTTGTATCTATAAAAAAAAAGAACGTTAAACATAAAAATGTCTTTAATAGATAGATAGATAGATAGATAGATAGATAGATAGATAGATAGATAGATAGATAACCAGTCAATGATTATACTGAGATAGATAGACAGAGAGACAATGATTATAATGAGCTAGATAGATAGATAGATAGATAAAAAATGACTGGCATAGATAGATACGAAAAGACTGAGATAGATAGATAGATAGATAGATAGATAGATAGATAGATAGATAGATATTGTTGACTTCGGATACCGCTTTGTGTACCACGTGACTTCCCGAGCAACCCCCCCAAAAAACTTTCTTTTTTCAAGTGATGAAAAAGCTCGTTAAACGTTAACAGAAGTTCAGGTCGTGCAAGGAGACTATCTCGAAAAGTGGCATATACATTTGTTCTTCATCATTGGAAATAAAGCTTTTGTATGAAAATTGCCATTACTTTTAGATTTAACCTTATACTATTAGTAGTATTAATAGTAGTAGTAGTTGTCGCATTCCAGCACACCCCTCGAGGAAATTGCAGCTGAACACGTTCGTCCGTCCAGTTATTAACTTCATCGATATCTCAGCTCCGTCCTCCAGAAAGAAGAAACAAAATGTATTCTATTTGTTAGCATCATAAAATTTAATAAGTTTAGCACAATACAATGCTACCCTATTCATATCGTCAGCATTTATATTACTGTCGTATGGGTACGGCTAAGTAATTCAATTGCCCAAAATATAGTGCCCCAAAGTTTATGGGATTTGAAAACAGATTATTCAAACCTTCTTGGAGAATTGTAAAAGTTTGATCTACACGAAGAAATATATGATTAGCTAAGTGTATACAACCAAATTGAAAGGAGACGAAAAATATGGTAGTGAGTAAAAGGTACACCCCTCAAGATGTAATTCACACAACGGGAATGTCAAAATTAACCAAATCTAGAAATTCAAATATTTCTATAGTATAACAACAGGCTAACTCGACCTGGGTAAGACGATAAACTACATCCGCGTCCTGGGTAAGACGATAAACTACTTCCGACAGCAAGATCTCTGTTCAGGAGTTTTTGAGGAGCGTGGAAGCATCTCTTAATTGCTGGTGTTCCCAGGTCAACTCTGACAGAGGGTGGTAACACCTGCTGGGGTCCCAGCTATGGGCAAATAGTTAACCCCAAAACTGGGATCAAAGTACTATGAGAGCATAAAAATAGGTTTTAATACCGGAAATACTTTTTTCCAAAAAATTATTACCAGCAATAAGTTTTTGAAGAAAAAAATTATTATCAGCAATACATTATTACCAGCAATACATATATGCAAAAAAGAATTACCAGCCATACATTTCTGAAAAAAATTGCCAGCAATAAAAAAAAATATTACAATAAACAGAATTTTGGAAAAAAAAATTACCAGCAGTAGACATTTCAGGAAAAAATTTTACCAGCAGTACATTTTTGAAAAAAAATATTACCAGCAGTAGATTTTTTTAAGAAACTATTTTTACCAACAATACATTTTTTTAAAAAATATTACCAGCAGTAGATTTTTGAAGAAACAAATTTTAACAGTAATACATTTTTTAAATAATATATTACCAGCAGTAAATTTTTGAAGAAAAAACTTTTAGCAGCAATAAATTTTTGAAAAAAAATAATACCATCAATAAAAATTTTGTTGGCATTTTAATAATATTATTATTATTATATTATTGTAATATAATTATATGTTGGCATTTTGTTGGAAATACTTATCAACCCATTGAGGTTGATAAGCCGTAAAACAAAATAAAAGTAGCGAACAATACATTTAAGAAATTAAGGTCCTTTTTTAAAATTACATCTCCTTTCATGGCGTAGGCGATCATAATTCTTGTATATGATCGTGAAGTGGTTTTCCATTGCTTCTTCCACGATTACGAATTCAAAGTTGTCCTTTTCATAGATTAGCTTTCACCTCAACTAGAGAGTTCAGTTTATAAGCTATTTAAGCCATAGTAGGGGGAAGAAAAACTAATTCATTCCATCTGCAAAGGTATTAGTTCCAAGTGAACGCAAGCCAGAACACCGCTCGTTGAATTTTAGGCGCTGATCGGCGCTACGCTACCTGTACATCCTCAAGCAGTGTATTAAGTGATTGGAAAATAACACTAGAAACAAATAAAATAATGCTAGAAAAGTTATGCGGTTTCTACTTTCCTATATGCAAGACAAATTTAAGCAACTTCATAAAAATACCAAAAATAAAAAATAATTAAAAATATAATCATATATATATATATATATATATATATATATATATATATATATATATATTGCCATTTAAATCATTAACCTCTATATTTGTTTTTGTATGAATGATTCATGTAATTATAAGTTGAACAGCACCTATAATGGAAATTAAAATAACTGATCCAACGTTCAACTTTCGGATAATAAGTGTGACATTTCTGTAATTATTGAATAATATAGTTTATGCCACATTGACGGAAAACCTACCAGTACAAAAGAATTCTCTTATTGCTATATTTGTACAAAAATGCACAACCTTAAAATTTAAAATTCAAACTCAGCGTTGCGACCGCACGTTCCAAAACAATAACACATTTCTCATAGTATTTTTTTCGGATTACATCTCTATTTTCGTTGTCCTCTTATTACTGAGAAGTAAAAACAAGAACAAAATCTACTTCCATACCTGATGATGTCTGTAGGAACAGACGAAAGCTTGTAAAAAAGACCTTATGAAACTGGAATTTATAAACAGGGAACATATCATTCATATACAGATTCGGGGTTAGTGTACTTTATTGAAATTGTTTGTGAAGATGTATTCTCGCCATTTAAATCATTATCCTCTATATTTGTTTTTGTATGAATGATTCATGTATATATATATATATATATATATATATATATATATATATATATATATATATATTATGAAATGGTCCGACCATTTTTAAGACATTTTTATGTTTATATTTTCTTTTATAGATACAAATATTTAAGTAAATATACTCTACACTCTAGTGAGTCCCAATTGTAAAGGTCAGAGCTCGTGGTACGAAAGAGTGTAACTTATCAGAATACATGACATTAAAACAGCGAGAGGCTTGCATCGTTTCGTCTGTGGGAAGAAGGTTTTAGGCTGGAAAATAATTCATCACCCTCAAGGCCACGTAGACATTTTTGGGCGCTATCAGAACAGACAAGACAGCTCCATCCCAGATTTTCCAAGCATAGCTTAGATGTGGCACAAGGCCGAAAGTAGAGAGGCACCCAGTGAGAATCGAACTTACTACTCAGTCGTAATTGTTCTAGCGAATCAAGCTTGCTAATTATTACACCATCTGGAGGGGGACCTAGCTCCATCCCAGATATGTCAGTAATACTTCATTTTTGGTCTGACCTGCCTCTTGTAAAGTTAGAACATAGCAAGAGTTAGATACTTACTGGAGCGATACAATAGACCCGCCATTTTCCCCAGCAGCTTTAATATATCGGATATATGAATTCTCCTTGGGGTCTCAGGAAAGCTTGAGTTCAAATAGACATTCAAGGCAAGAAGCCTTCTTGATAGAAGACCCATCTATCATAATAGGTGAAAGTTCAGGGTTTGTACGGTAGTGGTGGTGATGGGGGAACGTTACTAGTTTGTTTTTGGCCGTATTGAATTTTACAAGCCACCCTTCCCCCATTGACCCACTAGACCTAGGTCAGAAGAGAGATGGGCTGCTAGGTTCTGATCTTGTAGATTTTGGAAGGTGCACCTATAAACTGTTGTGTCATCCGCATAGGTCATCACTGCGTATCGAAGTATCCCTTTAAGCAGATCGTGAATATAAAGCGGAAGAGTGTAGGACCGAGTAGAGAAACCTTTAAGGCGCTGATATTGACCTTACGGGCTTCCGAGGACTGACAGTTAACGACGACCTTCAAGGACCTACCTGTTAGTAAGAATTTTGGGAAGGCTCTTTCAGAGATTCTACAGGGTGTCCATAAAGTTCGTGTGCACTTTAAAATTCCCAGATCAATTTTGTGGACAAGACAAATTGGTATAAGAACTGATAGGTTAATTTAGCTATATTGTCGACATGGTCAAAAAATAAACTCTTAGTATAAAGGTAATTTACATTAACCAGAATGAGGCTTACGCAGAAGCGTCTCTTTTTTTTTAAATTTGGATTTCTTGATGTAACTATACCAACAAAAACATTTCGATTTTATTTTTGCCTTGATAATGTGGGAAGACGTAACGCGTCGGCAGAAAATTAAGATTTTTTCCAATTGTCATCTTATACAAGACATACGGTGTGTCCATAAACTTCGTGTGAACTTTAAAAAATTTATAACTTTATTTGTATTTGAGATAGAAATGACATGTAAAAATGTTATAAAGTTTAATGTACCTAGTTTTAAGTATAGCTAAAATAACTAATGTGATTTCAGGCATTACTGTAAATCAGTTGGCAAATGTTTTCCGTGTACTGCAAAATCGTATTACCCTTTGTATTGCTAATGATGAACGACATGTAGAAACTTAAATAAAATTTCAATAAAATCTTTAAAACAAAATATAGATTTACTTCTTTCTAATCCTTTTTACAAGTTTTTTCTATCGCAAATACAAATAAAGTTATAATTTTTTTAAACTGCACACGAACATTATGGACACCTTGTAAAGCTGGAGAGTTTATGTAGCAGCCTCCGATGCTACAAGTTGTCAAGAGTTTTTGATATATCTAAAGCAATGGGCCCCGTGAGGAGTTTATTGTCATATGTCTCGCTGATTCTGTAAATAATGATAGTTAAGACATCAGCTGTGGATCTAGTAGGGCGAAATCCATACTGGTTATCGCTCAGGGGGTTGTTTCTGTTGAGGTGTTATGAATATAATCGCACCCTATACATTCGTTCATCAGTCTACCTAAACCCTTTGTCGAGATAACCGTATATTAATTTTCCTATAAGTTATCTTGGTTTCGCATTTATATTTCGAGTTGTGATAATTAAGAATTCTCATTTTCAAGATAACTTATTCTTTTCAAGGTGTTGTTTATCGCCAGAAAAATCCGATAAGGTGTTCTCCGAAAAAAAATAAATAAATAAACAGATGAAAACCTATAAAAAAAGAGATTTCCAGGGGCCTACAAAATATGACGTTACTACTATCTGAAGTTAAGCGTCACTGACATATAGAGAAGATATTGCAATGATTAGCGAGCCAGAATGCAAAATAGGCGAAACTAGTTCGATAACCAGTCTAGTTT